ATATACAAGCCAAAAGCAATGAAAGCAGAGAGGGGTCCTCTGAAGTACTTCAATGCCATGTGCACCTGTAATAAACCAAACACCTGACCAAGAACAGTGCTATCAAAGTCCAAAATTGTCCATTTTAGTTTCCATTTGAGTCAATAAATAACTTTATGCACGATGCCATAAATGTATGGAGTTAAAGCTGCACTTAAATAGGTACTTGCAAGCCTCTATCATAGCGCTGGGGCACGCTACGTACTTGCACAGGAACAGTAAATGCCTCTTGCAAATCTGCAGAAGAAAGGCAGGTTTGGTTTGCAGGTTTGGTTTGCCTGCCTTTAGAAAGCACTTGTGACATGGGCAAAGGGACTATAAGGCCAAGCCAAGGATCTGCCATGCTCAAGTGATCTGAAAGCTGCTGTCTCCCCTTGCAGACGTGGGTGCCAAAATCCTAGTTGTGCACTACTTGGTCTCCACGACGTGGTCTCTACCACTCAGAAGCCTCCTTCCACTGGCCAGCTTCATTTTTAAGAAGAAACTTCTGAAAAGTGTTAGCCTGTAGACTTCAATGTGTGGTTGAAAAGAGAAACCCTTCTTGGCACATCCTGTCGACCTGATCTCCCCCACAGCCCCACACACACGAGTTCCCAAGCTTCATAACTAAGACACTACTAAACAAATACAATTTCTTACAAGCTATACGTTAGATTAAAGATCTCCCAAAGGCAGAAACGCCTTGGAGTAAGGGATGACTTTTCACCCTCTCTTACTATATCCAAGATTTTTTCCCCCTTACTTTTACATCCAGGATTTTCAAGTCCAGTTCTAGTTATAAAATGTGACCTTCTCAACATTGAGGAGAACGGATTCACTGGCCCGGAACTGTTCTTCCCTCAACTCTCTAGCAAAATTACATTATAATTCTCCTCTTAATCAAGTGGACCTTAGGCTCCGTGGAAACAAGATGAGAACACTTTCCACGGACCTGAAGATAAGGAACAGTTATGTCTTCTCAGCTCATCGCAAGAAAGAGATATTTGTGCTAATTCTGCAGGGGAAAACCAAACAGTTGGCCAAGAGTCATAAATAATATGGAAAAAATCCAGGGACTTGGGGTTCTGGAATCAATGCTATTAAACTTCCCATTTTGGCAATCTGCCGACTAACATGATCCACTTAAGCCAGCTGACCTTCCCCGCAGTGTTTTGGGACCTCATCCAGACACACCATGGACCAGGCGTGTTACCTCCATAAACAAGCCTCATAAACCCAGGGTCAGCTTTCTAGGACAAGCCCCAAACAAAGTTTTCTCTCTAGAAGGGCTCCTTAAGCAGCTTGGCAATTCAATATCCAACTTGGAGGCATTTAAAACTACTGGACCACCTCTTATGAAGTGAAACCTAATTAAATTCTTGATCTCACAGTAGAGATGGGGTGTAACTATCTCTTTCCAAGAATTTGGTTTCAGATCTCTAAATGTCCTCTTGTTTTTAAACCTAATGACTTCAGAAGTGACATTAGGTTACTGCATGTCCTTGGCATGAAACAAGCAGATATTGGCACTACTAAACTTTCAGAGTTTGCAGCCTACATTACCTTGCAGCTAACACGGTGGTCACACAAACTGCTGACCCCAAAGGCTCAGAGGACCTAAGAGGAAGAATTCAGGTGAGCTATTTCGCATTCCTTACTTTTCCTTCCGTGTGTTAACTTGGATTCCTTTTCAAATGCTGTCAGTCAAGCAAGGAGAGAGGCCACGTTCTCCTTGGAACTTATCTCTACTCTCAACTCAAATCAGTACCCACCGTGGTAAATTGTTACTCTACTTCAGTTGCTAGAAACACTTCAGTAATCCCCAGCTTGCACAGATATTACAAGATACGGAATTACAAGATTTGCCATTAAATATATTTTACTGTATTAAGAAAATCATGCCGTTCGCATACAAGATAATCATCTTGTAAAACTATTTTTATGTAAATGCTAATGTGGTAGCTTTGCTTGGGAGTGAACTCTCTACCTTTGCTCATCACTAGCTCCCTAAATTCTGACCAGGGACAGAAACAGGAAGATCTCATTGAAAGCCCAGCCAAATATTTGAAGGAAAAAAACATTTTGCAGTTCTGAGAAATTCTTCAACACAGCTAAAATGCCAGTCTTAAATCAGTTTCTAACATTGCTATGAAAAAACTAAGAAATGGAAAAAAGTAGAAACCTGAGGACCATAGGGGAAAAAGTGACGGCTACAGTTATTTTGTTTTTAAGAAATGTTCCAAATCTTACAGCTGAGCTCTGTTGTTGTTATCACTCTCCTACCTGCATTTTTAAAAAGCACTAATTACTTCCTTTAGTAGCCCTCTAGGGAACCGGCCCATAAAAAATGCCTTAAAGGATAAAGTTTTGTGGAAAAACTATAGGAGACTTTTAGAAGCGGAAGAATTACTGGGCTCTTAACCCCTAGCAAAGCCACCCACCCCTGTCGCGGTTGGCACCGCGGGTGCCGCAGGCTCTGGCGGAGCCCGGCCCGCTGGCGCGCGGCGGCCTCAGAGCCGCGTGAGGCGGCAACGCGCGGCCTGTGCGAACCCAGCGCTGCCGCCTCGGGAAGCGGCTGCGCGTTCCCACACGGAGCCTCCGAACGCTGCAAGGCCGGACAAAGACACCTCTGTTTCCTGCCCGCGGGCAAACAGAGGCTCCCGCTTATTTTTGGTCAAGTGAAACGCGGAGGCAAGATCCCGCGGCCGCCAGCTGGGGCTCTTTGGAAAGGTACCCACGGGCCACGTGCAGCTTTGAGGGGAGTTGCCAATTCTTTAGATTTTGCCTCAAATGATGGGCAGCCAGCAAACACCAAAGGTTTTTCATACATTTACAGATACACAAAGAAGAGCAGTAATGGAGATTATCCCAGAATTGTCCCTAATTCTGCTTTTGCATGCTTGCCTCCCTCCAGGCTGAGCCTCCTGTATATACCAGTAATATTTAAGTTAAAGTCACAAGCAATTTAGTAATTACAGAAATGATACAGAACTGGCTGCATTTTCAGGCATTTTGGAAACAGCAGTAACTATGGTAACAGCTTTTTCTTCATATACCCAGAAAAGACAGCTCTTTTCCCATGCTAATTATTCAATATTTATAACATTAGTATGTCACGTCTTGCATACAATTTCTACCATTCCCACATCAGTCAAAGCTTGGCATGAAATGAACCCTGCGTTTTTTACTCTTATCACATCACGCCCCAAACAAAGATAATGCAAGAGGAAAAGTTATGAGTAGAAAACTCAGAAAGGAAGTTAGGATTCAAAAGAATAGTATAAATCTGATTTTTTGACTTCTCAACACTGACACGTTTTCCAAGTTTTGCATATGTGTTCATGTGATGGAATGCAAAAAAATTCTCTTAATGTGAGGGCTTAAAGTATTTACTGTTATTTTAATGAAGTTCAGTTTTTTAAGAAACACATTCATTACCAGGATATATTTTCAGTGGCACCTTTTCCCTGCTCCCTACAGTTGTTTACAAAGGCTGAGTATTTTTACTTCTAATATCAATATTAGTGGTGGTAGTGACTCAAACATGAGATTCCTTTCTTCTTTCCTACTTATTTCTTACTAGTACAAACCATCTGCTTCAAGAGCTTCACAACTGTGCAACTTATTAGTATACCTACAACCAGAATTAAAATATTAAGTAGAAAACTGTAAAAGTTCAAAGGGTAAAAGCCCTCAAAAACACCTGAGCAATATTCTACCTCTAGTAACGAGAACATTGTAGAGAATTGGTCCATTTGCACTTTTTAGAAGAATAAATATGAAAACCTGGAATATAATAACATTAAACAACTTCACTATTTTACCACCTTTCCACACTGCCTTTTGCCCATTTTCTTTACTATACAAGGCTGAAATTTTGTGCAAAGCAAGAAAATACACATTGAGAATTCCCATTACTGCAGCAGGCACTGAAGCATCCCAAGGCACTCTATGATTCCTTAGACAGTGCACGTTTGACTTCGAATAATAAAACTTGTAACATTCAGCTCACAAATAAAGATCCAGATTGGCTTTATTTTGCCTTAGTTAGCACTATAAATATAAATATTCAAAAATTATGCAGCAGGGTTTATAAAAATAATATTCAAAAAACAGATTATATTTGGCAGCAGTTACATTTTACAGATAGGTTGAAATTCTGAATAATGTGGCTTATTGAGTGCCAAGCAACACAAACTCACATCTGCCATAGCAGAATGACTCCGTTTGTTCACATCTGCCTTAAACAACAAAACATGTGTTTCCCCACTAACAATTTTCAGATCAGTTATTTTATGTCCATCACATGGTTGAAATAAGTGTATTGCAATCCATGGTAAAATTTAGACTTTTGCCGTGGGTAGGCAGCAAACTGAGCAAGACTTATTTTTTCTGCCAGTAGGCAGAATACCAAGATAATTCTGATCTATCAGAAATATGTTAAAAGTGTAAGTAAGCCTAGCCCAAGATAAGGAAAAAAAACTCAAAGGAAATAATCATCATCTTTCTGGTCTCTTGACCACTGAAAGCCTTGAAGGGTTTATCATGATAGGACCGATAATATTTTGTCATCAAAATCACTGTAAGGAGAAAATAAACAAACAAAAAAAATCCCATACACCAGAGAAAGCTACATTTGAGACGATTACAGGTTTAACATAAGTAACTTAACCAGTAAAGTCTGAATGATTGATACTAAAATCCATGCTTCCGAAGAATTCCAAAATCTTTAAGTGATAAGTGAAAAAGGTTGTATTAATACCTATTAAACTGAAGTAACCCATTAACACACACGCTGTGGCAACAAGTTTTTTTTTTTTTTTTTTTTTTTTTCAAACAGTTTTTGGAGAGCCAGAACTCACAGCACTAGCTGTGATATAAATATATGTAATTTACTTCTTTGCTTTAATATCAACATGTTTGAGACATTAAGAGCGTAAAACATGGTTCCTGTTGCAGATATTATACATCAGAAAACGTACCTCTATATCCTGTATTATCTTTGGGTATAAGGACCTGTAAAATGAATTTGGGGGGCCATCTGTTGGTCTGTTTTTAAACAGGTACTGATCCCTAGAAAGAACCAGAAATACATGTTTCAGTTTAGTACAGGGAATGCAGGAACGCTAAAAGGATTTAAACGATGCAGTGAACCAAAACGTGCAACACATTTTCACAGAACACTTGTAATAGTGCTTAGCATTGAAATTTTAACCCTTTAGATTTTACAATTTGACAGCTGTATTTAAAATGTTCATGACTGGAAAGAAAACTTTATGGTTTTCTGAATTGGGGTTTCCTGCCTCGTAAGGTTTTTTGCCAGCAGGGTGTCCTGCTCTTGCACAGCTCTTTATAACAGGCCTTGCATTTTCTCAGGTGCACCACTAGAGAGCACAGACAAGCAAGCTGCTACAGCTTCGTAGAGCTGCTACCTTGTGCCCTCAGATACTTGCAAAGAGTGGAAAAACGAGTTATTACAACTGTTCAAAGCTTTCTGTACAGGAGAGGTGTCTGGAACCCAGTTGGTCATCTCACAAATGATGCAGAAAGGTTTGAGCAGGAGAGAGCAGGTGGCTGCCCCCGCACACGCGCGCAAGAGAAGGCTCCTGTTGATACTAACGTGCTGTAAAATTACTGCTTGGCAGAAGCTGCTCTTACAGAAACGGGCCATGGAGAGGGCTGTGATAGCCCTCGGACTATCGGACGTCATCCAGGTACTCACCAACCCCGTCGCTCCGAGAGGCCTTTCCACAGCGGGTCCGTGCGTACCATGCGCTCGATGAGCTTTTTCCACAGCATTCCCTCCGAGATGACCCTCTGCCATTCCTTACACACCAGCTCTGCTGCACACAGCGATCTGGCGTCGAGATAGGAAAGGATGTTTTCTGCTATGTGATCTAAGCCTTGCTCTGCAAAGGAGGGAAGGCAACGAAAGCGTCAGGCCCTTTGCAGCAAACTACCACCCTCCTCTGGGTTTCACAGGACATTCAGGGAAGGACAACGAAGCTTTAAGGCATTAGAACCACCGGATAATCACATTATCATGTGGAGATAGTAGCAGTTTTAGTTACCAACTACTCTAAAAAGCTACCTTGAAATATCTGTTCTTTCCCAGCACGGTCTGCGTGCTGCCCAGACAGCGAGGGAGCGTAAAACAAGGTTCACCACAGACTGAGGAGCAGTTTTGCTGCTAGGCTCCTGGAGCACCCAATGTCCTGAGTAACGCGGCCCAAATACATGCGTTACCATGGAGCAGTAATACAATGCTAAAATGGTGATTATTTTACTACTCCTTTGTATTTAATAACTCTAAGAATTTAGGTGAAGTCAACGGAGCAGAGGACAGGGCTCCTCACGAATAAGGAACCCCTCAGTAGAAGGAGCAGTAGCACAGATTCTGAAAAATCTTTCTTGCATCAAAGCAAGGGATATGCTTCCCATCCAAACCCTTTCTGTTATCTACACATGCCCAATCCAGTCCTGAATTTGGTTCAGAAATCTGGTGGAGAGACCACGTGGTGCAAACCCTTGTGAGCTGGGGAAACCAGTGAGGATGAGGTGGAAATTAAGTCAGTAACCCCGAACACTGCTTTAATACCCAAGAGCATTATGGTGATTCACAGTTTACTGGCACTACATCCCATCCTTAGGGAAACTACTCAATGACTTATCCTGGAAATAATTCAGATTCAGATAATTCTCTCCGAGAGGTGACAACCCAGCTTCTACACTATAAACTAGTGAAAAATAAAACTGGTAAAGATTGCCCAGTGTATTTTAAATAGCCATACTCATTAGATATTTTCTTAGCATCTTTTCTTTATCTGCTGCTGCACTTCCACCCTGATGGCCTCTGCATGGAAAGCCGTGAGGTGAAAGATTGACTTGATATCAAGCACTGTTGATGCAATAACCTTCAGCTTCCTGTCTCAAAGAGTTTAGCAATGTAGAATCATAGAATGCTTAAGGTTGGAAGGCACCTCTAGAGGTCATCTAGTCCAATGCCCTGCACACGCAGGGTCACCTAGAGCATGTGGCACAGGACTGTGTCCAAGGGAGTTTCGAAGATCTCCAGAGAAGGAGACTCCACAACCTCTCTGGGCAGCCTGTTCCAGTGCTCTGGCACCCTCACTGTTAAGAAATTTTTCCTTAAGTTCCTGTGGAACTTTTGGTGCTTCAGTTTGTGGTCATTTCCTCTAGTTCTGTCGGTGGCCACCACTGAAAAGAGGCCAGCACCATCCTCCTCACTGCCTCCCTTGAGGTACTACTGTGGAGCCCAGAACTGGACACAATACTCCAGATGCGGCCTCACCAGGGCTGAGTAGAGGGGCAGGATCACCTCCCTCGACCTGCTGGAGCCGCTCTTCTTAATGCACCCCAGGGTCCCATTGGCCTTCTTGGCCACGAGGGCAACTGCTGCCTCATGGTCAACTTGCCCACCATGCCACCCAGGTCCCTTTCTGCAGAGCTGCTCTCCAGAAGGTCAGTCCCCAGCCTATGCTGGTGTCACAGAATCACACAGAATCACAGAATGGTTGAGGTTGGAAGGGACCTCTAGAGATCATCTTGTCCAACCCCCCTGCTCCAGCAGGGACACCTAGAGCAGGTGGCACAGGGTGGCATCCAGCAGGGTGTCTGGGGTTATTTCTCTCCAGGTGTAGGACCTTGCACTTGGCCTTGTTGAATTTCACCGCCCAGTTGTCCAGTCTGCCCAGGTCCCTGTAGATGGCAGCGCCGCCTTCTGGGGTATCAGCTACTCCTCCCAGTTTGGTGTCATCAGCAAACTTGCTGAGGGAGCACTCTGTGCCTTCATCCAGGTCAGAATGCAGCAAAACAAAAATCAAGCAAAGCAACATTACCCCAAATAAAAGCCCTCTGGCAGTAAAAGCTGTCAGGAATCATTACCAAGAAGCTCAGTTGTCTTCTACTCTAGTGTCCCAACTTTCGAGTTCAGTTACTTGGATATCTATGGGGACAACTCACACTAACTGAGGCTGCAGAATAAGGCCAACGAGCAACAACTATTAATAGACTTTTCATCTCAAGGATCCCAACTACCAGAGGCAGCTTCTTAACTTGGTAGTTTCTCCGTACCACAGTGTGGTCAGATTCACACAACGTACGCACTCAACTCCAACAGCAGCTCCAAGGAACCAACACTGAGGATCCAGCCCGTGGCTCCGGGGCTATCGCACAGTTGTCTGTTAGCACTTATCCAACAGCAATAGGAATTTAAGCTGGTGAAGCGAAGGACATCAGTGAAGCTGATGGATCCAATAAACTACCACCAGACACACATAGCCAGGCATTAAATTTCTTTTGCAAACGCAGCATGCATTTGCTTGTGGCTTTGTTAGATGTTATCTCATGCAGAGAGTGCTAGATAAACAAATGTGACTCGAGCTGAGGAAAGGTACACAGGGGGAAACCACTTGGTGTATTTGCATTAGATTTAAAAGAGCAATTGGACTTTTCCTGTTCACATTCCTGCCAAAATGCCACCAGTCAGATGAGAAATCAAAGTCGGTTTGTTACTTATTTCAAAAGACCTTCCCCAAAACTCCTCTAAAGCAGAAATCTAGAATAACTGGAGTAATTCCTGGATGCCAATTAGTCACGCATTTAAAAAAAAAAAAGTAGAGGATGATGAAATTGTAAATTTTCCATTCCATCTCATGTCAGCCTAGGACTTCAAATAGAACTGGAAAAAAATACAAAGAAACTACTATTCATTTTTCCAAAACGAATGATGTGCTCATATGGTCCTCCAACAAAGTGAGCGCTAGATCAGGCAGGGCCCTTGGAACACGAACCACAATGGAAAAGATATCAAATCATGCATCCAAAGAGCATTTCTTCATTTTTTCTACAGATTTCAGAGAAGTCTAAAAAAAGTTTTAATATTGTTGAAAGCTGCTAAGAAGCAGTCAAATGGAAACAACAAATATATATACATAAAGATTCAAGTAACTGGAGGTTGGGTCTCCTATGTTTGTTTGAAAAAAATATCAGTACCTAATGTAGGCCTTGTAGGCTGCATCTCCCACTCCTCCTAGGGGCTATCAACCATACTTTTCTAAATATTTGCTTAGGATACATTTATTTAAAAAAAAAAAAAGAGGAACAAACCTTTGCTATGTTATTAAGCTGTGATATGACCTGGAAGAGTTCCAGGTTTTCTAGGAAACGAATCCCAGTGCCATTTTAGAGGCACACAGTATCAAGAAGACTAAGTCACTGAGCAAAGTGGAGGCGGCCTCTAGATGAAAGGGAGCAGGTTGCTGACTAAGCAGCTCTCTGGTTTTGAAGCTACGGGTGTGATGTGTGACTGCAATTAAAAAACACTCTTGCAAACGTTACATTAATACAGCAGCCCACCAGGCTCCTGCCTCAATTAAGAAGTGTTTAAGGCTCCCATTTTGCAGCACCATTTTTCTTTCAAAAGCCATTTTCTGTGCCTGCAGCACCCTCCTACTCCTTCCGACTACGCCAGTGCTTTTAGTGTCCTCCCAGCACATGTCTGCTCTAGGTCAGGGCTAGAGAAAAGCAAGAGACGGGTAGATAACACATATACACACATACTTCCTAGTGGGATATTTACTCAAATTATGAGGTAATGATGGGACCATATATTGTATAAGAAATGAGCTAACTGATCATTTAGTTCAATCACTATCAAGTTGCTACATTTCAAGCTCGGCAGTTAAATACAAAAATGAATCACTGCAGAGTTTGGAAGCAGCAAGAAGGAAACAGATGTTAATAAAGGAGCAGGCTGCAATTAAATCAGCAGAGCCAGAAATTATTAAGAGTTTAATATTGTGATGCAAAAAATATTGCTAAGACTTGAGCCGAAGGGAACGACCACTAGCCTGGAGCTTGCACAGCCCAGAGATGGGTACCCAAAGGAGGCTTTTCTCACAGAAAACCTGGGAGGGGTAAAATTCTGCTTTAGGGTTCCAGCCTAGTAAAATAATTAGCACACACCTACAGCAGCATTGTTAGACTGGGGACCTGTTTGCACTATAATTGCCTTAAAAAACAAACAAACAAAAAACATTTAGGCCAACTGGAAAACTGGAACTTGATATTTCAACCAGATACTTGAAAAGGAAGCTCACAGGACAAAGCCAGGCTGCACGGGAACGTGTCTCAAATATCCTGCTCGTAGCCCTGGACAAACTTTGAAATGCAAAAGCTGAATGTTTTGGGCACAAAGCAGCAGCTCCCAAGGGGAAAGCACCAAGGATGTTCAAACACGGCTCCTGCACAACCTTCTGTCCAGACACACATGGAAAACTTCTATCTGTTACTGCCATCTCCTGGCAATAACCAAAATGATGATCCTCTCCCTGCAAAAAAGAGGAGCTCTGATGAGCTGCAGCCTTGCCAATAACGGACTTAATTACAAAACGGCACCGTGAAGCCCCCTCTGAGCTCTACAAAAGCCTGTGTCCTCCCTCTTGCTACATTCCTACACAGGCATCCAGAACCCCCTGGGCTCCTGGCCCAGCTTGAAAGCTGCTTCTGGCCCCTCAAGTAGGAGTGTCATTAAGAAAAAGTCATCTTATAGAAATGACAAAGATGGCAAAAGGACAGCTCAACAGCGACGAGTTAAAAACTTGTCACACTGCTGCACCATCAGATGCAGTAATTCCTTATGCTAGGGCACAGGCAGCGTATTCCATCCTTAGCAGCAATCCGTATGCTGCATTGGAAGCCCTTGGTAGGAGCAGCCAGGCACATGTCACTTAGAGAGCCTCAGAAGAGTTTGATTTAATGCCTATTTTGAGACTCCTTAAGTAGAAAAAAAGTGGAGAGTCACCACACTCCATTAAAAGCCTATTTCAAGGGACTCAAAAGCCTCTCAGGGCATTTTTGAGCAGTCCAAGTCAGTCAAGGTGCTGCTAAGTCGAAAGGAGAAGGTTGCCAGCCCGGGGGTCTCCGGTTGCGGCCTGGATGCGAAGGACCAAGGCGGTGCCACCAATTTCCCCAAGACACAGAGATTTTCGTGGAGACCCAAATGCTGCCATGGAGCACGGGCGAGTCTCTTGTGAACTCAAGGCATGAAGAAAATCACGTTCCTTTGGAAGCCTTTTTGTTCCCCATGGGATAGGACCGTTCTCATGAATATTTAGAGGTAACTGCCTACCCTATGGGAGGATTTTTATGCAGCTTCATCATACACGGCTTGGAGAGACGTAACCCAGGCGGTCAAGGCGCAGCGTTTGATCAATCACTTGGCTAACTAAGGCCTTCCTGGGCCCTTTTCCTCACAGTGCAATCCTTGCAGCAAACACTCGTTAATTTTTCCATGACCTAAACCACGTTTTTCTAATAAAAGTTAATAAAAGCCACCAGCAACCAGCCCTCTCTGCAAGGGCATTAATGAATTTATGCTGACCAAGCCAAGAACTCACCTCTTGGGCCAGGCTCTGCTCCTTCAACACCGCCTGCGGCCTCTGATGAGCCAGCAATATTTCACTGGGTTGTAAGGACCAGTTGTGAATTAGCAGCTACATAATTTTTACAGTTTTGATTGCACAGATCACAGTTAAAGATAGATTTAATGGTCAGAAACACCAGGATTATTAAAGCAATTTGGTCTTCTGTGAATATTCTTGGTCCTGAACACTGTGTACTGAGCACAACCACTCAAGTGCTTTGCCCACTCTTCAAGCTGCTCTCTTTACTACTAGCAAAGACGCACGGATTTACCCCGTGCACATGAAAAACAGGGAATGGAAAATGATGACCCTAGTTAACGTAGCAGGAACTGGTGCCAAGCACCAATTTTTAGATGGACTCATCACACTTCACGCTGAGACCATGCAGGATTCCCTCCCCATTTAAGCTATGGAAGTTCAAAGTTACAAACACCCATTTTACATTTCTAGTTGGTGAATGGTTCATTTTAACATCATTTTCTGACAGTGGAACCAAAAATCACACGTTTTCTTTAATAAAATGCACCTGTCATTTATCAGTATGCTTTTCAAAGAAACAACAAAGAACATGACTCCTGACTCCCATGCCTCAACAGCTCTTGCAGTTTTATAGGAAAATGGTAAAAAATCACAGCTGTGGTTGATTTGAGGTACCAGCTGAAGGGCAGGTAGAATTTCAATAATAAATTAAAACAATTAAAACCCACCGCGATTTCAAAGCCCAATGTGTAAATAGCACTTTGGATGAAAATGAAACCCAAATGTGGGATGTCAGCCCCCTAAAACCAATCAACAGGAGATATGAAACAGTCGCTTAGATTGTGCAACTGCACAGTCTTTGCTTATTTTAGAAACGAATTTCAGCAGAGCACTGGCAGGGCTTTACTTGCCTGACACAGCACACAGCTCGGAGCTTTGGCACAGAAAGCGGATATAAAATGGATTTTTTCCCCCCCTAATCAAAGGGGAAAAGAGAGAAACTGGAGAGTGAGGGCTGTAATTCATTAAAGGGAAGGGCACACTTTGGAAGAGACCATGCAAGGAACAGCAGAGTGAGCATCTTAAAAGATGATTAAGAGGGGACATAAGCTCTTCTTGCAATGAGACCCTGCTCCTTCTCCAGCGTTGCTGGAAAAGCCAGTGTGTAGGGCCAGACCCTGCAGACTAAACATCCTACCCACTACTTAGAGAAGTGCCTCATAATTATCACTTTTTCCACTGAAGCAAAGGGAAGCCAGATACCACAAACATTTTCCATTTCTCCTGTACTCACAGGTGTAAAAATCGGCAGGGACAGCAGCAAGCAAGGAGTATTTTCATTTAACAGGGGAATTTGACTTCTTCAGATAGCTGAAACTTTGAAAACATTGTTATCTTTTAATGTAATATTAGCCTGGTGTGGGATTAATTTCAAGCAGCTCAGATTAAATTCCTGGGAACAAATTACTTAGGAGTTACTCAAACACTACATGTTCAAACACAGTTTTCCCTGGG